TATTATTATGGAGGGGTTCACTCCAAGTTCAATCTGAGCAAGCCAGACACCTTGAAAAGGGCCCTATAATGTGTCTGGAAGTCAGAGTTGAAATGAAAAATGGAACTGATGAAAGCACAGACAAACTACAAGCAGACTTGGTAATCAAAACAAATGACATGGGAAAAACAGTATTATTTTCCTAGGTTACCAGAACGGTCAATGTGGTACACAAGGGTTTAACAGTACTAGCCTTTAGCTCTTAGAAAGGGTACAGGGTAACACACTGTTACACAGGGTACAGGGTAACATACTGTTACACAGGGTACAGGGTAACACACTGTTACACAGGGTACAGGGTAACACACTGTTACACAGGGTAACACTACACATGGAACAGGGTAACACTAAGTTAGACAGGGTACAAGGTAACACTGTTACACAGGGTAACACTGTTAGACAGGGTACAAGGTAACACTCTGTTAGCTAGAGGGTACAGGGTATTCCCCTCCTGTTTTCAGTGTAAGCGGGGACATTCATTATAAAGTAGGCATGCAGTGTTGTGTGTGTGTGTGTGTGTGTGTGTGTGTGTTGCTGGATGTTGTGCGTGGATACATTGGGGGAGGACGTGTGTGTGAGAGACGGTACCATGCAACAGCTGGAGATGAAGGTCACCATAACCTGCCTGGCAGGAGGTGGAGGGGTCACGACAGGTCACACACACACACACCGTGTATCTATGTTATTCCAAGCTCACCAGATATCCTTGGGTAAGCCTCCTGTATGTTCATGTAAAGGACGTCACCCTGCTTGCTTAGAGAGTACCACTTCCTCCTGATTCGTCTCACACCGAGGCTCCAACCCAGGACCTCTGCTTTGCTAGCACACGTGACCGCCCTCCCGACGCGTCTTACCAGCCACACAAAAAACTAGCTATTCGGTGGCGCAAGTGGGGACACTTCAGGCTGAGGAGTAAGTTTCTCACATCCCCTACATACACACACAGTGTAGTATAGCTCCAGGAAAACCGGTTTAACAGGTTAGCATAGCTCCAGTTGTTCTAACACAGTGTAGGCTAGGCTAGTAGACTAGCATAGCTCCAGTTGTACTAACACAGTGTAGGCTAGGCTAGTAGACTAGCGTAGCTCCAGTTGTTCTAACACAGTGTAGGCTAGGCTAGTAGACTAGCGTAGCTCCAGTTGTACTAACACAGTGTAGGCTAGGCTAGTAGACTAGCGTAGCTCCAGTTGTTCTAACACAGTGTAGGCTAGGCTAGTAGACTAGCGTAGCTCCAGTTGTTCTAACACAGTGTAGGCTAGGCTAGTAGACTAGCGTAGCTCCAGTTGTTCTAACACAGTGTAGGCTAGGCTAGTAGACTAGCGTAGCTCCAGTTGTCTCTCCTGAGTGGCGCAGTGGTCTAAGGCGCCGCATCGCAGTGCTAACTGTGCCACTAGAGATCCTGGTTCGAATCCAGGCTCTGTCGCAGTCGGCCGCGATCGGGAGACTCATGGGCGGCGCACAATTGGCCCAGCGTCGTCCAGGGTAGGGGAGGGAATGGCCGGCAGGGATGTAGCTCAGCTGATAGAGCATGGCGTTTGCAACACCAGGGTTGTGGGTTCGATTCCCACGGGGGACCAGTATAAAATATAAATAAAAAATATGTATTCACTAACTGTAAGTCGCTCTGGATAAGAGCGTCTGCTAAATGACTTAAATGTAAAATTGACAAGAGTAGCCTACTCATTTGGGGCTAGGTGAGAACCTGAACAGATCTATTTGTTCCAGCAGCCTCATATAGTCTAATAGCAGCGTCTGGCTAAAGAACCACATCGCACGTGTCTCTGTATAGCTTCATCAGAGGATACACAGTGGTCTAATTACCGACCAATGAACAGGGCCGTAGCACCTGTCCACTCCGCCCTCGTTACACAAACCCAGAGTTGGAGCTGGTCACAGCGAGGTGAGAGGAATCTGATTCGGTTTCATCACAGAAAGCTTCAATGTGCCCTCGCAGGCTAGATAAAGAAGTGGTCAAAGTCAATACTAGTAGAGCAGACTTGGAAAATAGTGCTGTAAAATGTAATAAGTGCCCTAAAATGTATTGAGTGCTGTAAAATGTAATAAGTGCTGTAAAATGTAATAAGTGCTGTAAAATGTTATAAGACCCATTCAGTAGTTAAGTCACTGTAAATATCATCTCTGTTGTATCTACTTATCAAGTATTGTCTTTATTGAGTAGAATTTGATATGCAAATGTTAGGTAGTCTGGTTTGACACAACTGTTAAATATCACCTGGGGGGTTGTACACAGAAAGACACAGACAGACAGACACTCTTTCACACACAGACACACACACACGTACACACACACACACGCACACACACAGTCACACACACAGTCACACACACACATGGCCTGTTCACCTGGTCGGTTAAGTACTGATGTGACACACACACAAGCAAAAGAGGAACTTAGACTACAGTTTGGGAAGGAAGGAGGGGGACTTCCCCTTGCCATAAATCTTGCCAACCAAACCACAGTGCTGGGCACAGGGTGGCACAGTGCACTATACCATTAATCAGTAAAAGCATGTCTGATTTATAAGCCTGTTGGATACAGGGAACATTGTATAGCACAGACCTTGCTTACAGGTGCATGAAGGGATTTACTAAAATTACAAATCATAAATCTTCCATTGACAGCAATGCATGATCTACACTAAATTAGGCCGGCCAGCGTCACAATCAAGTTGAGGAGGTGACACAGAGACCAGGTGGTTGGTGTGTAAAGTGCTGATTGGCTTCTGAGTCACCAACAACCCCCTGCTCTATCTTTAGAATAACCCTATTATATACCTCTAGGCTGCCTCCATCTGAACACAGCAGGAGAGTCCATACTCATTTGATTGGGAGGACTGCTGCCCCCTGTGAGATGGCCTGCTGCCCCCTGTGAGATGGCCTGCTGCCCCCTGTGAGATGGCCTGCTGCCCTCTGTGAGATGGCCTGCTGCCCCCTGTGAGATGGCCTGCTGCCCCCTGTGAGATGGCCTGCTGCCCTCTGTGAGATGGCCTGCTGCCCTCTGTGAGATGGCCTGCTGCCCTCTGTGAGATGGCCTGCTGCCCTCTGTGAGATGGCCTGCTGCCCTCTGTGAGATGACTGTTTCACTGACTTGACCTCTGGCCTATCGGATAGGATTCACAGCATAAAAATAGAATGAATAGAACGAAGAAATCATTGACTTGAATGGGGAACCTGTTCTATTCATTCTATTTGATGTGCATTTAATCCTATCCGATAGACTGAATCAGGATAGATACCTTTTCAAAAACTGGGCCCAGAAAATCACAGACAAATATAAAGTACCCAGAGCTCAGCACTGATCATGTGTTACCTGGGTGAAAACTGTGTGAGTTCAGCTAGTTTTAGTTTCCTCAACTGCCAGAGTCAGTCTCCATGCTATCCAAGGGTTATATAAAGTGGGTGTCCATGTCACATTCATATGGACTACTAGACTGAGGTTTAATGCAGTTTAGGGTGCAGCAAATTATCAAAATCTGCTGTCACATTGTTTGGAAAATGCAGACATGCTTTAGTGGCCTTAATTTTAGTTAAGCATGGAGAAAAAGTCAAGACCCTTTGTATTATTGGTGACTCAGTAGTCTAATTACTTGGTTGATAGGATACATGTTTGTGCTTTTACATTTTAGTCATTTAGCAGACACTCTTATCCAGAGCCACTTACAGTTAGTAAATGCATACAAGTTTTTTTTTTTTTTTTTTTTTCAATACTGGCCCCCCGTGGGAAACGAACCCACATCCCTGCCGGCCAAACCCTCCCCTACCTTGGAGGACGCTGGACCAATTGTGCGCCGCCCATGGGTCTCCCGGTCGCGGCAGGCTGCGACAGAGCCTGGACTAGAACCAGGATCTCTAGTGGCACAGTTAGCACTGCGATGCAGTGCTTTAGACCACTGGGCCACTCGGGAGCATTTATCATGCAGATTAAGCTTCTGTGGATACAAATATAATATGTTGTATAAGGTGGAGGTCATTTTTTATTTCCACAATTATTTCCTGCTTATGATATTAAGCATTTTACTGTGGTCCTGCGTTGGTGTGCTCGCATCAGTCTGCAACTGCTGCGACAAAACAAATACCTTTTCTAGTTCCAGCAGAATGTTTTTATTATTCTGTATCTCATCCTTTTCATACCGTAGCGCTATCTAGCGGTCTACAAACACGTGGCCGAAATCATTGCGCTTCCCGCGCTATACGCTGATGGCTTTCATGGCAGGGTACAAGAAACTAGACGTCTCGTGAAACAGAAACTAGGTGAAGGACGGTGTATGTTAATTTCTTGTTGACGGTGAAATGTGTTATTGACATGAAATAAGCCTATGCAAATTAACTATTATGTTTCGTAGTAGCCTAACAATTTATAATGTTATTATTTGCACACAATAATGCACACGGGCCATAATAATAATAATAATTACCTAAATAATGAAACTATCAGATTGAGTATTTGTCCTGTTTGAGGGGTATTGCTTTTGCAAAATGCCTTTTATTGCCATGGTGGATAACGCCGTTTTTTGGAACCCCTGAGTCCCCACCGAAAGAGGAGATTGACTGTAGGCCTATTATGATTTTGCATTTCTATTTATGAAAACATTTTTGGATTATGGTTATTATGTTAGTAAACATATTTTTATGTATGAATTGAACTCAGCAAAAAAAAAACATGCAAAATCTGTGAAGTTAAAGAAGATGCTGTTGAATTTGTGCATTCTGTATGCATGAGTTTTTAGGTAGGCCAATATTTATATTGTTTTACGCAAATCATTTTGTATTTTTCTCAAAACAGTTTATATAATTACTGTCTGCTTATGCATAGGGACAGACTGACGCAACTACAAACTTTCTCCCCTCAGACCAATGCGCAATGCATGACGCGACTAGGAGGAGTGGTCAGCATCGCCTATATATACCCAGTCCCGCTCTCCTCAGATTCAGCAAAGCAGCAACGCTTACAAACACACAACATCCCTCTAAACGATTAGGGGTTCAATTCAGCATCTCGCTGTCGCACCAAAGACCCACGTCGGTGCACAAAGCTTGCAAACACGATCAAGAAAATGTCGCCTTCTGAGAACGAGTTTAACATCCCGGCCAAAAATTGCCACAGGATGGTGATTCTGGGCTCTACAAAAGTTGGCAAGACGGCCATCATCTCTCGGTTTCTGAATAAAAAAGTCGAGGACCAGTATACGCCCACAATCGAGGACTTTCATAGGAAATTATACAGCATTCGGGGAGATGTGTACCAGTTGGACATTCTGGACACCTCTGGAAACCATCCCTTCCCCGCTATGAGAAGACTCTCTATCCTTACTGGTAAGCTTAACTCTGAACTAACAAAACAAATATTTTTAAAATCATGCATGCAATAATGCTCTATGCAAAACTTTTATTGTACACATTTAGCCTAGGCCTATGTAATTATGGACTTTTTGAGCTGCGATATTAACGTGCCTTCCCTTGCTCTTTCAGGTGATGTTTTCATCCTGGTGTTCAGTCTGGATAACAGAGACTCCTTCCAAGAGGTGCAGCGCCTGAAGCGTCAAATTTATGAGACCAAGTCCTGCCTGAAAAACAAAACCAAAGAAAACGTGGATGTCCCGATCGTTATCTGCGGGAACAAGTGTGACCGGGAGTTTAACCGGGAGGTTCAGAATGAGGAGATTGAGCAGCTGGTGGTTGGTGATGAACAGTGCGCCTACTATGAGATCTCTGCAAAACGCAACACTAATGTCGACCAGATGTTTCAGACTCTTTTTACCATGGCTAAACTTCCCAACGAGATGAGCCCGGACTCTCACCGCAAAGTTTCCTTACAGTATTGCGAAGTGCTGCAAAACAGCAGAAGAAAATCTTTCAGAAATAAAAAATTCAAAGACTGCGAGGCATACGGAATTGTGGAACCGTTCGCGCGCCGACCAAGCGTGCACAGTGACTTAAGGTACATAAAAGAGAAAGCTATCGGCGGCGGACAGAGCAAACAGAGTTGCACCATCAGCTAAGCAATTTACTGACAATATGCAGGAGAATTGTTACGAAATACAGCGATAGGGATGATACCCGCCAGGCTTCTCGCCAGTGTGCGGTGTCCAGGATAACGCAGCACCCCAAGGCGCAGTGACAGCAAAGGAAGTGTATCCCAAACCATGCCAGGACGCGCCGAGAGGGTGCATGACATGGTCAGTCCGTTAGACATTTCCCTGTGGAGTCAAGACTCTCAAATGTGATGTGGCTTTAGAGAACCTACAGTGAAGTAGGCTCTTCTTGCCAACTACAGGCTGTAAAATCTGCCTCTCCTGAATGGAGAATGTAGCCTTTACCTATGGGGTGGCACTTGTTTACGTTTAGCTATTATTATTATTTTTAAATGGAAGTCAACTTGAACCTTAATTGCATTATGAACAAATCTATGAATGTATATTTATTATTCTATGTCATCGTTTAATTTTCACAAAGAAAGAAACATGATGAGAAAATAAAAACATTTGAAAACTATTTTTCCATGTCTGTCATCCTTTTTATTGTGCTGATATAATAACATTGATGGTAAATAAGCATATTCTCAGGCCTTCTCAGTGACACTTCACCACACAAAACATTAGCTACATAAATAACTTTTCATTTAGAAACACTGAGGGAGAACGTATGCCTACACCTAACTTATCAAATTCATTTTTTTAAAGTATTGCCTATAACCTAACATTCATTTTTGAAGTACACTAAGTCTACAAAACATTAAGAACACCTTCCTAATATTGAGTTGCACCCCCTGGTGCGCCTAGCACCCACTATCACCATACCCCGTTCAAAGGCACTTAAATATTTGGTCTTGCCCATTCGCTCTCTGAATAGCACACATACACAATCCATGTCTCAAGCCTTAAAAATCCTTCTTTAACCTGTGTCCTCCCCTTCATCTACACCAGGGTTCTTCAATTCCGGTCCTGGAGGGCCGAAACACTTCTGTTTTTTATTTCTACCTGGTAGTTAATTGCACTCACCTGGTGTCCCAGGTCTGAATTAGCCCCTGATTAGAAGGAGAGGATGAAAAACAGAGGTGTTTCGGCCCTCCAGGACCGGAATTGAAGAACCCTGATCTACACTGATTGAAGTGGATTTAACAAGTGACATTAATAAGGGATCAAAGCCTTTACCTGGATTCACCTGGTCAGTCTATGTCAGGGATGGGCAACTGGTGGCCCACGGGCAATGCAGCCCCCCTTTTGTAGGCCTGCAGACCAATTTGACTTACTGTTGTGAGTTAGAATAATAGAATACACAATGTGCAATTTTAAAATGTGGTTGTACATCAACAGTCACTCAATTAGCGCATGTCAGCTAATGTGTAAGGATGTGAGTACACAAAGCCACGAGCCACTGCGGCCCCTCATGATCAGTGCCAATTTTTTGTGGCCCCCACCCCCATCAAAGTTGTCCACACCTGGTCTATGTCATGGAAAGAGGAGGTGTTCATAATGTTTTTATTAATGTATTATGTATTATTTATACCTTACATGCGACCCATGATAAGACTATGCAATTAGCCTATTAAAATGTTTATCTGACTCCATAAGATGATTTAGCAATATGCAAGAGACTACAGTTCAGTTAGGCAATCAAGAAATGTCTGAGAATGGAATTCTAAATAGAAGTGTATTTAATTACTCTGTAAAAGGAATGGATTTGCATACAAGGCGTAACGCTTAAGTTACAAAGCATTAACAAGCATTATAAGGCATTATTCTATGCATGATCAGAGAGAGAGAGAGAGCAGTAATAGCCTGAAAGGCCATGCCCTAGAGTCCCTGGGGTGGCGAGAGGAAGAAAGAGTGTAGGTATCTCACCCGCACAGATCAGGAACAAACAATAGAATGAGACAATTAAGCTAAGACCCTTTTATAACCATTTGACCATGATTAGATTCAAAATCTGAGTTGATGACCAATAGCATTACTGTAAAGTTAACCTCCAATCAGATATCAGACCTACAGGCTATACAGAACCTCTGCTTCACAAGAGGTGAGACAATGGGGGATGGAACGATAACACAGAGAATTCTTGCATACGGTGTAAAGAGTCATTACTGTAGACTGCAATGCATTGTGGTCTAGGAAATTAATACATTAGTTAGCTGTAAAATTAACAGCAAATGTTCAGCTAAGATACAGGAGAGTAAATTCCTTTACTTTCTAAGTGCATGCCCCTGTTATGCCATTTCATAATTGATTATAAAGCCCTCATTTAAAGGGATAGTTCACCCAACTTACAAAATGACATATGGGTTTCCTGACCCTGTAAGCGGTCTATGGACAAGGTAAGAAAGCAATCCATGCTTTGTTTAGTTTTTTTACTGAGCCACTGTCTCTCTAAAAATACCACATAATTAAGTCTGCCTAGCTAGTCTTGACACATTAATATGAGAGGTTAGTCAGAGCTTCCAAGAGCTTGGTTATTAATACAAGTTATTGGGTCAATGACGAACAAGGATTTAAAAATGGGCTAAAAATCAAAATGTGTTAAAAATGCTAATTCAAGTTCTTTCTACCTTCATTTGAGTGTTGAATATATATTTCAATAAGTTTTAGCCACCGAGATTTAAATCTATGCATTTTCATTTTGAATCTTATTATTTCTCCCATGGATAATGTAATTCATTGGTGTTCAATGGATTTTCAAATTAGTTGATTATTTACCAGTATTAGATAGTAAAAGTTTGATCTCAACAAACATGTACTGCTTTGATATTTGTTGATTTTAGCACCAAAAATGTCACGCTCAATTTCTACAAATGCTTTTCTGTAAAGGGGTAATGATTATTATTGTATCCTCACCTTGACAAAACAAAATTATTTAATATTACGTGAAAAACCTGCGTTACAGCGTCTGACTGTTGCATCGTTATACCGAATGACATACTGTGAGATTCCACATTGGATGATCCTAAAAGACTGTCTCAGCAACAAATATGTACTTATTACAAACTAAATATAAAATGAGAGGCACTGTCAATCAGTTTTAATCAGCTTTTATTTTAATTTTAAGGTAAATGGAGAAAAGGCATATCAGAACTCTAATTCATGAAGTCAAGATCAATTCATTTTGAAACATTGAAAAGTATAAAATGTTGATTGAATAACATTGTCAGCAAAATGTGATGAACTTGGATTGAAAATCTGCCAAATTTGTTTCCCTCAACTCCTCTGGTTTTTCCTCCATTTATCTGTTCTCTTTTCAGCTGCAGAGGTCGTCATCTCCCTAACTGAGCGATGGTCTATGTTCCCATCCTCCTAACGTCTGCGGTAGTTAAACACAATACTAATATAATTGCAGAGATACAGTGCAGGCTATAGTCAAAATGACTTCCATTACATGAATATTTCCTAAATGCTGTTGTAAACAACCTTTGAGTAATCGCCAACAGCTTAGTCTGACACTCATATGCTGTATTGAAGATAAAAGATCTAGCCTACTGCAAATGAGTGTGAACCTAATTGAACTTAGTCTTAATTCAGGTTTGTTGGTTACTGAACTGCATTTGTCACTTAACTGCATGACAACTATAATACCTTACTTTCCTGCTCAAAAGCCACTCTTCCCTAACTAGAGGTTCTGGGTTCTTCCAGGTCCTGAACCGTGCAGCCCTCTCTTTGTTGGATAGAGGCATCTATAAGGACAGATATTCCCTCAACATCAAAACTGTACTGATAAAGCATTAATACAACATTATGATAATAATTAAGTGCTGACGACTTGAATTTAATAATAATAATGAGTATGTTGTTATTATTTTTGTTTTTCACAATGTAATAAATAAAGACAAAATATACCTTAACACATAAAAATACATAAATATGTTATTAATAAAACGTACACATATACACTACAATCCCTAAAAGCTTAAGTCCTAATAACACAAAAACGAGATGTGTCATGCGGAGTAACGGATGACATTGAATGAAATCCCAATGTAGGGACAAAGGTCTTTCAAGCATAAAAATGTAATAACGTTTAGGATCCTCACCATTATTTTATTTATCAATACAGATACACTCAAAATTATGCCAGAGGAGTTTATTTGATTTGTATTGTTTTTGAAAAAACATTTTTTGAGCATATTTGCATATTGATTTTAGCTGTGGACAGTTACTCTGAATGACATTTTGGTACTTCTGAGCTCTATAGCTCCCTAAATTCCCATTATTCATAATTAATTGTCACGCCCTGGCTCTGGGGACTCTTATATGTTGAGCCAGGGTGTGGATTTTTCTATGTTATAGTTTTCTATGTTGTGTTCTAGATCGTTTAGTTTCTATGTTGGCCAGGGTGGTTCCCAATCAGAGACAGCTGTAGCTCGTTGTCTCTGATTGGGGTCAATACTTAGGCAGCCTGTTGACACCAGTTTATTGTGGGATCTTGTTCCGTTAAGGTTTGTGTTATTAACCTAGGACTTCACGTATCGTTTTATTGTTTTGGTTCGTGTGTACTACTGAATAAAGAATGTACGCTTATCACGCTGCGCCTTGGTCTGCTTCTCATAACGATCGTGACAGAAGATCCCACCATCAGAGGACCAAGCAGCGTGCCAAACAGGAGAAGTTGGCGATGTCCCAGGTGGGCGAATGGTGGTCTTGGGAGGACATATTCGCGGGCAGAGGGCCATGGGCAGGAGTAAAGGCCCAGGCAGGAGAGGAGAAACGGCGCCAACCGTGCCGACGACGGACACGCGAGAGGCAACCCCAAGTAATTTTTTTGGGGGGGCACACGGCGTGGACGACGGGGCTGCTGGAGGCAGCTACAGGGCGCATCGGCGATCTAGGAGAGGAGACCACCAGGTTTGGTGGGCTGGAAGGGTGGTTGGCGGAGCCTAGAGGTAGAGCAGAGCCAACTCCCCGTACTCAGGCTAGGCAGCGTGAGACTGGGCAGGTTCCGTGGTATGCGGAGCCACGTACTGTGCCGCGAGTGTTCCGGCACAGTCTTGTACGTCCTGTGCTAGCACCACGCACGTGTCGTGCTAAGGTGGGCATGCAGCCAGGACGGAGTGTGCCGGCTCAACGCTCGTGGCCTCCAGTACCCCTCCTCGGTCCCGGATATCCTGCGCCAGTGCCACGTGCTGTAGCGCCAGTACGAGTGCACAGCCCTGTACGTCCTGTGCTGATGCCTCACACACAGGGTGTGGAGATAGGCATTCAGCCAGGACGGGTTGTGTCAGCTCTCCGCTCCAGACCTCCAGTCCGTCTCCACAGCCCGGTCCGGCCTGTTCCTGTCCCTCGCACCAAGCCTGTGGTGCGCGTCGTCAGCCCGGTCCGGCCTGTTCCTGTCCCTCGCACCAAGCCTGTGGTGCGCGTCGTCAGCCCGGTCCGGCCTGTTCCTGTCCCTCGCACCAAGCCTGTGGTGCGCATCGCC